ATTAAAACATTGGGCCAACCAAGATTACATCCATCACTCACCTTGCGGTCAATGATATCTCTGTACTTCCAGTTGGACTTTTGAAAAATTTCATGGTAACATTTCCAATATTTTCTCTGACAGGAATGAACTCATCGTGAAAACCAATCGTAACTGAAAGCAAAACAAACCGCACTTTTGATTAGATATGAATGGCTTTTGTATGAAGTAGACCCTCTCTTTAACAAAGAAACACATGTCGAAGTTATTAAAGTTTCTAGGAAGATAAAAGAGACATGTCCTGTTTCTCAGAAAGTTTTTTATCTGTACAGAGAAGGAAAAACTTTTTCAGCTTATAGGCTAACAAATAAGAATCTTTATTTTCTTAACATTTGCCATTGACCTAGCTATGCTGGGTCTGACTTGATCCACAATGTTAATGTGTGAGACTTTCTGTTATTCAGGGAATAAAACTATTGCTAAGTAAGGATGAAGCCTAGAAGGAAGATAAAAAGAAAATGATGATGTTAAAGAGGGAGAAGACAATGATGGTGATGACGAAGACAAAAAATGTGATAATAAGGATATTGATGATGAAGAAATGGACGATGATGATGACGACGACGACGGTGATGATGATGATGCTGAAGGACCGAGATAATGACAATGACGACAATGATGATGATGAAAGATGGAGATAATGATAATGACGATGATTATGATGATGAAGTTAACATCGATGATGTTGATGATAATGATGACGATGACAAACCACGGTGATAATGAAGAAGATGACGTTGATGACGATGACGACGACGACGACGATGATAATGATGAGAATGGTGATGATGATGAAGATGGTGATAATGATGAATTGATGATGATGACGATGACGACTATTATGGCGACGACAACGATGATGTCGATGATGATGACGATATGATGATGATGATGATGATTACGACTATTATGGTGATGACGACGACGACGACGACGATGATGATGACGAAAATGAAGAAAGAGAAGTGAGAAGGAGAAAAAGGAGAAAGAAAAGACGAAAGAGTAGGAAGAAGAGAAGGAGACGACGCTCATGCTGAAAAATTGCAGAAGAAGAAGTGATGAAGATGAAGGATAAGAATGGATGATGAAAAATTGATGAGGAGGATAAGTGATAAATTAATGTTGGAATAATTTTATATGCTCTATGGATATCCTCTCATCGTAAGAATATGAAACTCTTGAAATAACAACGCACTTCAATAAAATATGTCAATCTGTCGGACTGATTCTTGTAGAAAATTGCTGCTATTTGAAGAATATTTTTTTCTTCTTTTCAATTTATCTCGTGCTCTACCTTTGTCGTCATCTTTTATTTGAATAATCACGCTGTCAGTACACACACTTGGATCGGAGCTTGTGACATTGATAAAAAAACTTTCATTGTGATTCTCCAACTTCATGTTGTTCAATATTGTGAAGGTGACCGTAACATTATTGACATTTAAAGCAAACGGTATGGTCTCGGTGGACGAGTTGAAGTCAGAACCTTCCTTTGCTGTGCCAGAGTTAGTTCTTGCACTAGAAAATAATGTAAGTTAGATGGTTAGTTTAACATATAATCAAAGACTGCCTTTTTAGGGCCATACATGGTTCTTTATTTTTAAGGATTGATTAACCAGGATCATACTTCCAGACAGCGAGCGCTGAACCGCCTTATGGACTTACGGCTAAGCTGTAGATTTCGGTCCCAACACCGCTATCCCGGGAGGAATTGCAGACTGATCAGGAAGCTCGCGCAAAGCCTAAGGGTGAGAATAGTCGGTCGACCCTAGACCGTAGATGATTAGCCCCTTGCTATGGCCAGCTGACCTAGTATGTATCATTTTTCGCCAATGGGTTACCTCCCATCGTTACGTTTTTCCGTTTGGGATGCATTTCGAAAAAAAAAACTAGCTGTGACGTAATTTAGACATAAAAGTTGAGGAAATAGTGGGACGAATTTGCATTGCAGTGCATTGTGGGACTGTTTTAGGGGATATCTTTTAAAGTAAGGGACGTCCAAAATTGTTTTGTACGTGTTTTGACCCCGGGATATTAGGGATTAGTGGAATAACACACATGTCCAACGTTGGCCTATGGTGTCCCATGTCCCGACAGGACGGTCTCTACCATCCCTTGGATATCCCCAAGACATCCCCTGTCCATCCACTTGTCCCTGTTTTATCCCTTACAATACCGGTGTCTCTGCTATCCCCAAGTTCCCTGGAGATCCCCTCAGACATCCCTTGGCCTTCCCTTGTCCCTGGCCTACCATCATCACTACTAGTATCTCTAGACATCCCCAAGATTGAGGGGGGAAACTGGTTCGAGTTGGGATGCAGTGCATTGTTGCCTGGCTTTAAAAATATTTTTTCGTCATAATGGCGTGTATTACGTACCCTAAAACAATCATCTAATGCTCTGCGATACTAATTCGACGGCATTTTTTTTCGCACCATCACATTACTTACTTTACGGTGACCGCTGTGGAGTTTCCTGTTCTTAAAAAGGTAACTGGAAATGTTGTTTGGCCTTCATTGACTAGGATAACTGGCCCACCTTGAATGGTTATGCTTATATTACACGTACCGTCGACTTTGTTGGTCACTGTTGAAAAATATAATGTCGTCAAATAATCAAGGTAATCGGTAAACGTATAGAGCGCACGCACTAAACCCGTGCACAATAATTAGTACTAATTAGTACTATTTCATACAGAATCCTTTGTTTTCTATTGTTTAGTTGTCACTATTTAGTGCTAAAAATTAGTATTAGTTTCACGGGTTTAGAGTGCAAACAATTAATCCGTGAAACACTAATTACTAAATAGTACAAAATAGTGCTAATTAAACAATAGAAAACAATGGAATTTGAATGAAATTACGCTATTTAGTATTRCTAAAGTTTCACGGTTATATTGTTTGCACTCTAGTGCGAGCACGATCATATTTAACTAGAGTGAAGTCATTAAACCCGTGATATTAGACTAATAAACTTTAGTAGACCCTAAATCCATTGTTTTCTTTTATGTCTATTTGACTATTACACGTTGACTGACATTTTTTATTTCACAGGTTAAATGCCTTCACTCTACTCGGAGTAGCTTTCTAATTGAAGTAGAACCGCTAGTTTTGGTGCCTACAGGCTCATTCACACATCAGGTTTATCTTCTTTTATAATGGTCATTATTCCGCCGCTAATAATGGAAAGGGTTCGTAATTGTAGTAAAAACCGATTAAGTACGAGGTGCGGGAGGAAGGGGACAAATAAAAGCAGGTACATGGCATATTATTATATAGTTCGGATAGTAAGCGCGAGCTGATTGGTCGAAATATGTGCTTTATTAGTGAACGGAGCACAGTGCTGACGCCATCCGCGCGCGCGAAGTGTTGATAGATCCTACGGCTGTACTCTTTCTTTTTGCTTAATTGTGATCAAAACCGAATTAAAATGTAGTAATTATGTAATAAATCGGGGRAAAAAATCTTTTTTCGTGCTCCGTTCAGTAATAAAGTACTTAGGAAGAGCCGTAAGCACTCAAGAAGTGTGAGAAGCACTCGTCTATATACCCTTCTTTTGTGCTTACGTCACTTCCTGCTTGCTTCATTAGTGAACGGAGCACAGAAAAAGATGTTTCATTTAACAAATAACATACATTAAAAAAATACTCAATTCTGATTGGCTTAGAGCAGTTTGTTCAAACGTAATACAGTGCAAAAAAGTGTAATACAGTGCAGAAGAGTGTAATACAGTGCAAATTACAAATGGAATAGCTGCGTTTTTATTGGCTTGTAGAATCTTGGAGGTTGTTTTGATTTCTTGTTTTCTGGTTTCATGTGGTAGAAATAGTCAAATTCAAGTTTCGCATACGATGCATATCGCTATTTTTGAAGACCACCGACTCATTTGCACAGGCTTAGCCTCGTTTATAAGTAAGCTATTTACAGAAACCATTAAAAGTCTGTGGGATTCAAAACTACATTAAGTTGAATTTTGCAATATTTTTGTTCTTAAGGACGTTCATGAGCATTTATTTTATTTATTTATTTATTTATTTGTTTATTTATTATTATTATTATTTACACTTTAATACACAAAATTACACACATATTTGCAACATTCTACACTTTCTATGGTTCAAATACTAATACAACAGTTTTCTTTTTGGCACTTTCAATAACTAAATGTTATCAAATGTTATCACCCGACTCTATACCATAATAGTTTTTAAAATTCTTTCATATTAAAATTTTTGATTCCTTAGAGAATACAGGAACAATAGTCATAATTAAAGAACAAAAGCAATGTGAAAAGGATTATGGTCTAGAGACGGGGGTAAAACGTCATCTCGCTTCAGGCTTATTGGGCATTGTTCGCGCGCATCCTTTCTAAGCAAAAATTTAGAGAGAGCGCGCTCATCGTGACACATCATTCCAATGTTTTAATAAGCAACATATTATGAAAACGTCTTCAATCTCTAGAATTTCACGTAACGAGAAGGCTCCAAGTCCACACTTGTAGCCCAATAACATTATATATTTCTAACTTTAGACACAAATTTAAAAGCTAACTAGAATAATTGGTTGTTTTCTAGAGTTTATTTTTTCTGTAAAATGCCAGTTTATTTTTGGCAGCTTTCTATGTCTACATTGTTCGCTTGTTTTTTTACTGGAAAAAGGTGGACTTCAACGCATTCCGACGGCTAAACGTAGTCGAGACCACAATATTTTATTTTCTTATTGTACTTCTAGTAGAGTGCAAACAATATAACCGTGAAGCTTTAGTAATACTAAATAGCACAATTTCATGCAAATTCCATTGTTTTCTATAGTACTATTTTGTACTATTTAGTGATTAGTGTTTTGCGGATTAATTGTTAGCACTCTATGATTAATGATTCCGCTCCAATAACTATGGTATGATGTAGTTTTATTAGCAAATTGTTTTTTAAAATCTGAYAATGGGAACTTTTTCCCATTGACGTCCTTAGATAAAGGTTCAAACGCTAGGGCGAGGTCTTGAATTCGAATGCAAAACCGAGCCCCGTGCATTTGAACTGGTTTAAAATATCAACTAAGCCCTAAATTCCATTGTTTTGATGCAAAACGCAAAATAATAAATCATATTGAATTCAGAAGAATAGATTACTGTTGCTTTATTCTTTTGGAAATAGAGTGCTTACGATATATCCGCTTTTGCACTCTATCGTTCCGATAGAAACAAATATAGTATTGCTTTCATACCTTGCGTTCTATCGGACAAGTATAAGGAAAAGTAATTAAAAACCTATCCCGGGTTTATAATTCAGCCCCGCTCTTCCCTGTTGATATCAATTCCGCCTCCGGCTTTAAGAATCTGGGTTTTCGCCGAATTTAAGAAAATTCATCAAACAATGGATTTAGGGTGTGGTTGATTCTTAAGTGAGGCTAAGTGAGGCTAAGCCTGTGCAGATGAGTCTTTAGTCATAAAACACATTGGTATTTACCCCACTGCTAAATATAAGAATGGGCCGAAGAATGACGTAATACATCAGTGGCATATACTATTTTAAAACCAGGGCACAAACATAGTGCACGAAAACGTTTATCAACATTCGACCGATGTAAGTTTTAACTTGATTCCCCTTATGACAAATAGTTTTACTGCGTTTACCTCTCCTGGGTGGACGGTATAACTTAGCAGGAATTGCAGCCCAGTGGATAAGGCCGATAGGTGGAATAGAGGTTTTGCAGATTCACGTTCCCACGCTCATTTAGATGGCAGAACGATGAACGAAGTCCCTTTGTGCTTGGGGGAATTGAATTCTTTCTTATCTAGAACTATTGTTTTGTTCCTGCCATCTAACATGGTGCCATGACAGGGCAGAAAAAACGACAAGCCCGCTACTTTCACGATTTTTTTTATTCAACTGAGTTTAATACTCCAAATTTTTAAGCGTTTCATTTGTGTCGCTGCTGCTCGAAACTCGTTTCGAAATTTTGTCGAATTAGAGTAAAGCCTACTTATTAGTATTCACGAAAATGTCAGTTTTCTGCTGATCAAAATATCGCCTCTCCCAAAGTACACGGCTTTATATCTCAAATACGTATTCAAAAATTTTTGGTCGCATTTGATATTTTGCTATTTGGCTCCAAAAGAAGGGGTTTACAAAATATTGAGCTTTTAAAAATACGTAAAGCTGTCCTTATGGCGAAAGGCTAAAAACCGTTTTTCTGCCCTGTACGTCGGTTGCCGTCACATGATGGTGCAAAACCTCTATTAGAATTTTAATAGACGTTTATGCACGAGCTATTGTTATTATCTCAAAGACATTAAAAAGCTAGAAGTCTTGGTATATTAAGCTAACTGAAAATACTGCTATTCCTCGCCTTCTTTGCTCTTATTGAAATATTCAAAACTGCATATGTTCGACTTATATTCCAAGTATTTCCGAAGAATGATAAGTTATGACACTTCTGGCTCCACAATAAGAATTACGACAGTTTAAAATGAGCTATAATTTGAACTTGAACGAACTAACTACACAATTTAAATTGAGCTGTAATCTTAGTTCTTATTAAGTTTTCACTTACCTAAGTCTGAGGAAAGAAAGACAAGGAGAACGACCAGATATATGATTGATGCTTGCTTCATGTTCAAGAACAACACTGTCGGCTGATTGATAGACCCAATGCAAAGCGAACGAACGCGAACACAATTCAATGTCAATGGAAATTAGATGTTTGGTTACACGGATGACTTACTTACTGACGACAATAACTATAGTGTCTGAATTTCAGAGTAGTCGTTGTACAAGCATATCATGACAGAAAGAAAACTTAAATGGCGGAATTAAGATATTTCGTATATACTTTTTTGTAAATATATATGTCCCAAATAAATGTAAAAAGTTTTGTGTATTTAAAAGAAAGAAGGAAAAAAATTTTTTTGTTGTTGAAAGTTCTAGACTTTTCTATCCACGCAAAAGATAAGTGAATAACGATAGTAAAAGATTACCCCGGGGCTAGATTTGAAAGAATCGGAAATACCTTTATGGTATCGTAGAGGGATTTTACTTGCCCCTTGAAACAAAGCTATAATGTCAGCTGTAATAGTCAAAATAAAATATGTAACAGTGCTGGTAATAAATAATCTAAATGCTAGCCTCTATTAGTGAATATTAGACGAATAACCGTTTCACTTGTAAAACCACCAAGATTTTCAATAAATATTATAAATATAAATAATAATAATKAATATTATTTTTAAGGGCTATTTTGTTATCATGAGTATTTTAAATATATAAATAGAGTGCTCACACTAAATCCGTGAAACAAATACTAATTTTTAGCACTAAATAGTGATAAGTAAACAATAGAAAACAAAGGATTCTGTATGAAATAGTACTAATTAGTACTATTTAATGTTCACGGTTTTATTGCGTGCACTCTAATTCTTTTCAAAATTCAATAGCTAAATTTAAAACCTGAAAATCCAGAACCTTCGATTCTTTTATTAAATTTCTTTTTATATTTTCCGTCATTAAAAAATAAAATAAAATAAAAATCCACAAAGTATAACACAAGGTCAGTAACAAAAATAATATTTTGGTATCATGTACCAAGATCAAGTACATGAAGTACAGTAATTAATGTGGTATTTAGAAATTTACTACAAGTTGTAAGGGTTAAAATTAGTACATTTGACTAATTAAATTATTACATTTGACTAATTCATTTCTTTTGAAACTTTTCTACAATTTTTGAAGCTAAGATATAATTTTTTTTATCAATTTCTAATTCTATCAGCTGAAGCAGGACGATACTTGAACCTTAAAGGGGCACTTGGATAAAAACGCCCCAATTTTTGAAAGTCCGGATAAGTATTTGAGGATAATAGGACTCAATTATGATTATGTAAACATGATTAGTGAAAATTTTAGCCTGTGAGCCACTTGCAGTTGAGGAATTGTGGTTCAAAAGCGAAAAGAACAATAGGGTTGAGTAAATGACGTCATTTACTCACAATTTAGATGCTGAATAAAATTCATAATCTTTATCCCCCACTTTTTCTGTGAAGAAAATATGTTGCTTAGCTAATATTGGGGCGCCCACATAGATAAGTTTAACCAAGTTTCAAGTCATTTTCAATTTTCATCGATTTTCATCCAAGTGCCCCTTTAAGCAATTCGAGTTTTTGTGGCATTTTTTTTATTTATATAATTTAAATCATCCCTTGAGCCAATCGACTGAAAATAAAATAATGTATTTTCACAAGCTTAGTTTATTTCCTTAGGCCTAGGGCAAACGTCGAGCTTTCCATGCACCAAACTTAATTACATCAAAGAATGCCGCCTCATTATCACCTGATATCCATTGTTTTTAATGAGTTCGGTGCATGGAAAGTTAGACGTTTGCCCTAGTCCTTAGTTTATTAAGTGTCCACGGTTTGAGTGTCCTCACTTTAAGATTTCTTTTTCAATCATTAAAATTCGAATAGTCACTGAAGGAATCCAAATACGACTTCACCAGCTCAAAGCAGAATCTATATTGGATCTGTGGAACAAAACACAAATCAAAAGTTAATGCATGAGTTTCAGCAACCAAGCCGTGAGGCAGGGCCCGGTTGTAAGAAAAGGTGGATAGATTTTATCCAGTGGATACATTTATTGGATAACAGCATCGACTTTTGCACAGGATAGGATTCACCTAATTCAAAAACGGTGGTCGTTGCCAAAGGTGACAGGGAAAAGACCCCTTGCCCGTGACRTCAAAGCAGCTCGATCTAGGGGAACAAAACAAAATAATTTCAATCTCCAGAGAATTGGAAACTAAAATTGAGCTGCATTCCAAAGTGCTGCAAGGGGTCTATGGGCAAAAAGCACTAGGAGCTGAGATAGGTAACATTAATAATGAATACTTTATCTTAAAAAGGCAGCACTAAATAGTGCACAACACTAATAAACTTGAAGTGAATAGCTGGAATAACTTGTGTTTTTTGCCTATTCTCGTCAAGAACATGGACCTTCAGATTGATTCAATCATATCCATGATATTTATATTCAACGAAACCATGTCGGAATGACCTATGGCCTACCACCTTTGGCGATGACAATCTTTTTAAAACAAATAGGGTATAGTATATCTGCTGGATATCGCTATCTACTCTTCGTACAGCAAGTCCAGGATAATAGAAATTTTAATCTTTTACTTGGGGAATGAAAGTATTGTGTTAAGTCATTGTTGATACCAAACAATATAACTGCGTGAATTCAAAACACACCTATTAATAGCCCGGGGGGGGGGGGGGGGGACTCTTGCCCGTTTAGGGTAGGGATGTGTCGCTGAGCCCACTGAACCCTGACCTTGTTCCAGAGTAAAATCACTTATAAATTCATACC